TGTGTGCATAAACATCATAGTAATAATAATAAAATATATATAGTAGGTGTCCAACAGCAAATAGTAAGCAAAATTCCTTCCAAAGAATGAATAATTCCTTTCCGACTGGGAAACGCTTGTCTATTCCTTCGAACGTAAGGCCATAGCGCCGTTCGTAACTTATGCTCTCTTCTCTCTAATATATCTGACACGAAAATTAGTAAAATCGCAATTTTAAGGTAGCAACCATCTTGACTCATAAATTGTGATCGTGCATTATAAGGTGAGTTCCATGGTAGCGTTTACGTCACTTCCCCTTTCTATAAATTATTTCCTGAAATAAGAAAACCGTTCGTTTTACTTGGCAAACAAAGGTAACTAACTCATTATAAATTAGAATCAATTTGGTTTCACGTGAATTTTTTGCTGCACGCGACCGGTTACCATTTCATGTCGGGTATGGGATTAGTTAGTTATTTGTTTTCGGAAGCATGGACTTGATGGTGGAGGAAGCCGTAACCGACCAGTGGTTACGTGAACCACCCTACGGCGGCGAGGAGTCCAGCAATTCTCTCGCACTTAACCATCCCCGGAATAGTAAATATATTGGAACTCCTGAAGTATGCGTACCAAGATGGCGGACACCGGAACGTAGTATGTGTACCAAATTAGGGTCAGGCCATAATTTTTATTCCATTTCTCCCTATTTTAGTTTTATTATGAGTTCAGGAACTAGCCAAGTGACTCCCGTAATATTACACCTAAAATTATGGCCTAACCCTAACCTGGTACTTATACTACGTCCCGGTGTCCGCCATCTTTGTTCACATACTTCGGGAGTACCAATATAACTATATTGTTCAAGACTGGTTCCGCGAAATAATGGGACTGAAAAATTTCAGGAACGGTTCTGTTTTGTATCGAACTTACTAATAACAGCTTCCATCCGGAATCGAAAATTCGTGTACGAGATCCGCGATTTCGCCATTTGTTAGATTGGCCGACTTTTTCAGTGGATAAACGATTGTCCTGCGTAAAATATTCAATCCATAGCCGATGCAAGAATTTAAAATGTCTTACCATATTGGTTTAATTGTGTTCATCGTAGCTCGCCTGTGCGTAGACTTACGGTAAAATAAAAGCCCTACTAACTAAAATACTACGGCAATCTGTGATTTAATTGTGTTCATCGTAGCTCGCCTTTGCGTAGACTTACGGCAAAATAAAAGCACTACTAACTAAAATACTACGAACATAAAATACGCGATAAACTTCCCGAATATCAATATATTGGATTCGGATTTTTGCGACTTTGAGATCTGTTAAAAGTTTGAGGTATTATTTTAGCACTGATTGCTACTTATGCTTATTCTTAAGATATCGTTGTTAGAAAAATCTCAAGGTCCTAAAAGTACTATTCGCAATTATGTAAAATATTTAATCCATGACCGATACGGCATATTTGAAATTTCTTGCTTTATTATTTGGATTCTGTTCAATGTAACCTGCTGTTGCGTCGACTAATATATATAAGCATTGTAATTTCAAAATGTGTGGCAATGTGTCAGATTATAGATTTTTCGAATCGTATTTCAAAATAAACGATAAAATTTTCAAAGGTTATTTGTCTCCGTCTCCATTTTTAAAAAATCGCTTTTCTCTTCGAATACTGGACCAATTGCTTTGAAATTTTCAGTGGTTGAAGATAAAATTTTTCTCCAGAAGGCTATTACTTTTTTTCTCTCTATGACGTCATCAAAATTATTGCCATTGGGTGGCGCTACGTGTCCATATATTTGAGCATAGCTCTCTTGTTGTTATTGGACACGTAGTGGACATAACGATCGTTTCAATATTATGTTGTTGTTGTTGTTGTTCTTGTTCTTTGACACTTTTTTAAAAAGTCGCTTTTCTCTTCGAATACTGGACCAATTGCTTTGAAATTTTCAGTGGTTGAAGATAAATTTTTTCTCCAGAAGGCTATTACTTTTTTTTTTCGCTATGACGTCATCAAAATTATTGCCATTGGGTGGCGCTACGTGTCCATATATTTGAGCATAGCTCTCTTGTTGTTATTTGTCTCCGTCTCCATTTTTAAAAAATCGCTTTTCTCTTCGAATACTGGACCAATTGCTTTGATATTTTCAGTGGTTAAAGATAAAATTTTTCTCCAGAAGGCTATTACTTTTTTTTTTCGCTATGACGTCATCAAAATTATTGCCACTGGGTAGCGCTACGTGTCCATATATTTGAGCATAGCTCTCTTGTTTTAAGTTATGCCCGTCTCCCAGGTATCTCTGCATTTTGTTTTGTCTGTTTACTTTTTGTATTGTTTATGTCAGAGAACCAAAATAAATGATTGATTGAAGCTATGCAAGCGTTTGTCACTTTAGGAGAGTGGGACTTTTTAGCGGTCGAGGGGTTTTAAAAGCGGCCATCGAACTTTACAGAAAAATTATAAATTCACGCAAAATTGTTATGTTCACTTCAATAAAGATTTATTCCTGTTGTTTCGTGCGTTTCTGAATTTAAATTGTATGTATTGTTCAATTTATAATATTTAATATTTTTGTAGAATATAAATATTCTGATTTATTAAAAGGCATATTTACAATCATTAATTTAAATAAAATATTATCTTTCAAAATATTTTTTTTAATTTAATTGTGAACATTTAATATTCCCGTGTGCTCCATATTGCAAATTATTTATGCCAGACCGTTACCAGGGGAGGTATTCACATGTTTCAGTTTCAGGCGATCTTTGTTTGAAATTTATGGGTTAGAATTTGTATTTTTATCCCCGCGGAGAGGAAAGTTGTCTTAATTATTTATTATTGTTATGTAAAAAGATTCTGAATTTATGTCTCATTTGTTTTGGATTTGTGTTTTTACACAGACTGTGTATGATTATATTTTTTCTCCGTCATTAAAAATAAGTACCGGTACCGGTACCGTATTTGCTCGTTTTGTAGCCCGGGCCCATATTTTTTTTAACCAAACACACTAACCGGGCCCTTATTCAAGCACGGGCGCTTGTTATTTTTTAAGTAAAATTGCGACAACTATCAATACTGCAATATTGAAACAACGCACTGGGGGCTGGGGCGTCCCGACGCCCAGTTTGAGCGAGTCTGGATTTCATGGCCTTTTTGAACGAGAAATCGGGCGTGCAATCAGAAATTCCCCTGTGCAAATAAAAATTCCTGGCGTGCAATCATAGCCTAGCTCACGGCGTGCAAAACAACTGCGCCTGCGTGAAACTGACTTTGACATTAGATCGCTAATTTTGAGAGTGTTTGTGCGACGTCGAATACCGGTACTGTTCAGTACATCCGCGTAAAATTATTGGATAAAAAATATGTTAAATCAGAGCAAAATGTACATAATTTGCCATTAATTTCGAGAGTGTTTTCACGTAGCAATATTGGATAGAAAAAAAAAGTCAAATCAGAGCAAAAATGGATGTTTGACCCCAAACATTATTTCTATATTTTGTCACTAATTTTGAAAGTGTTTGTGCGGCTTTAGATACCGGCACTGTTCAGTACATCCGTGTAAAATTATTGCATAAAAAACTATTCTCACAGGATTCCTATCATTCAACATGATATGGTGGTTTTTGCCTCGCATTTTTCGATCTTGCCAAATCTTGCAAGCTAGTATTAGTCGACAATTGTGGAGTTATAATTTTTTGGCATCTTTATATTACTGGATTATTAATTTGAAAACCATTCAAACCGATTTACATTGGTGAGCAATTGCAAGTTTTCGGCGTGCAAAATTTAATTCGCTCGCGTGCATTTTTGAGGAGCGCTAGCGCCCTCGGACGTGCACCTGCCATGGAATCCAGTCTGGAGTTTGAGAACCATGGTGTTACGTAATCAATGCTAGTTGTTATGTAATTGGACCCCTTGACGTAAGGCGTGAGTGTTATCTACCAGCGCTTGAAATTCGACAGTGTTATGACAAAAGCTCTTCTTATTTCCTATTGTTCTCTACCACTAAAAATCAGATTTTACATCGGGCGGGTATTCAAGCACCGGCCCTTATTTATTTTTATGTTCTGTTCACACGGGCGTCTATTCAAAGAGGGCCCTTAATTAAGATCGGGCGGTAAAACGAGCATATACGGTAAGTTAATTGTGTGTTGAAAAATAAATACCAAACTTGCGTTTTATTAGGGTCTCCTGAAGTACACTTCGCAAGTACTTCTAGTTGGCCTGCCTCAACATTTGTTTCATATGTCATTCCCAACCCCCACCTGCAGACCTGACTACGCCATCCGAAAATTACATCACTGCGAAGTCACAGTATACCTCCAAAGTATACGGATGGTCGCGCAGACAATCATTCGAAATCGAGCAAGCTATTTTTCTCGCCGAACCGATACAGATAAGAGAAAGATCGCTGACATTAGTGAGTTCATTATAGTCGGCACAGATGCCAATTTGGACAATCACAGCTATACTTAAGCAAGCTCTATGATGCGATTGTGATGTCGCAGTGATGTAATTTTTGGGTGACGTAATCAGGTGGGGGTTAGGAATATTATATTTATAAAATCATTATGCTACATCCACTACAAGTACTTGAGGGCGCGTACTTCAGGAGACCCTTTCATTAGACCTAAATGATCAATGCTATTCAAATTTATCCATTATACAACGTGATGCAAAAAATCATAATCCCAAGCTTCACGTAATTGCCGGTCGATTACGGCTTCCTCCGTCAGCAAATCCATGCATCTGAAACAAATAACTGGCTAACTAATCCAATACCCGACGTGGACTGGTAACCGGACAAGAGGCCATGGTTCGCCATATGATTGAGTTGTATTATTGGTTTTCCTCTTCTCCAGGATAAATATGTAAATCGTTTCTTAATCCCGCATATGACATAGACATTAGTAGACAAGAGTCGGTGACACACCATATGATTGTGCCATCTTATAAAGAAATATAACTTTCCATCTTTTTGTTTATAGTTTTCTGTATCTAACGTATTACCCAGTATATAACCATGGATATGGAACTGAAACAAGCTTTCGCGGACCTACAGCGTAAAATGGTCGAGACGCAGTCACAAATGAAAATAGCGGATGCACAAATCATGCAATTAGGACGCGAAAAGAAACGTTCTGAGCTTACTGCAAGCGAAATCAGCGGTTTGCCATCAGAAACAAGATTATTTCAAAGCGTAGGGCGAATGTTTTTGCTTCGAACACGAGACGAAATCGACCAAAATTTAAAATCTTCACAAGAAAATTCAGACACGAAAGTTAAAGAACTCGAAGCGAAGAAAAAATATTTAGAAAAAACTGTTAAAGAAAGTGAAGAAAACCTTCGTGAAATGGTTTCTCAACGAAGGAAATGAAACTTCTATTTCAATAACTGATTTATATTATCTTCAACAAAAAAAATGCATGCAAAATGAAAAACAGAAAATTCCAGGCCATTTCAAAAATGAAATGGGACTTGGTCGGCTTGGAATTAGGGCTGAAAGCCTCAATTTTAATATGATCACAATACTTCTCAAAAAATATGATTTCCAATTTCCAAAAGCCATTCTATTTCAATAACTGATAGATATTATATTCAACAAAAAATGCATGTTAAATGAAAACCATGTTTCTCGCTGAAGATTGAAATTGTGTGAGTCAACCTGGTTTGGATTAGGTTCAAAAGCCTCAATTTGGCCCAATTTATATTTAAAAATAATTTTTTATTTAAAAATAATGCTACTCAAAAATAAATGTTTCGAAACCTATTCTAACTGTTTATTATTATTTTCAAATAAAATATGTCTATAGAATGAAAATACGAAAAGACTGGGATATATTGAAAATAAAATAGGACTTTGTCTGATAGAAATTGGGTTTGAAAGTCTCATTTTTTTTTATCTGGTTCAATGTATATTTGAAAATAATGCTGCTCAAGAAATCGTGGCAGGAAAAAACTACTTTATCTATATTTGCAGTGTGTGAATGTTTTTCATTTTGATATCAAATTTCTGTTTATCAGGCATATTCTTTGTTTATTCACCATGGTTTCTCCAAACTGTTACAAAGCTTATTGTATTCTGAGATGTCGTGCTCTCTAATTTCGTTGATTGAGAAAATGTATTCTTCATTTTAGCACCTACAAATATTCAGAAAGTCTTAAATTTATTAAAATTGCAAAGGTAATTTATCGACACCATAATTATATTGTTTTGGCCTTCACAGATGTATTAAATGAAGTAAAAATACTTGATCAATTACTGATTAAAAAACAACAAACATGAGAAGTGACTGTGGACACCCTGTATATCAATACACATCACTGATCCATGTCATGAAATTTCCTATACTTCAGATAGCCAATACAGATTCAAATAACTTTGTGTAGTTAGTTGTCAATTCTATTTGGACACCACTTTTATATTAGAAGTGCATGTGGAATTGAAAAGTCTTCCGGAAAAGTCTTGTTGAAACTAAGTTAAATTTAACAATAATGCTGCACAAATCAGATAACCAAATTGCTTTTTGTATATTTGCAGTTTTTAATTTTGATGCAGAATCTCACATATATTATGATACCCAACCTGACCTGTGCACTCTATTGCCCCCCCCCCCTCCTCAAAAAATACTCTGAACCACGCCCTTGCAATAGAATATATATTTGAGAGTATTGGTCTGTAATGAAATATGGTGCATAAATGGCAGCAGCATCAACATTCTTGGAATTAAATGAGGTGATTCTGTTCAATTACGGCCCATTGCTTTTATTGGGGGATATTGAATTATACTGAAATAGCAACTTGTCTAGAAAAATAATTTTGCGTCCGCTTACCCATCCGGGTTGTGCAATCCTTAATACAGGAAGGCCAGATACACATAACTTGGTGAAACCGCGTGCCGCACGTTAATTTAACATAGGCTATCTAATAGTCGCAGGCACATATATTTTGGTTGTTGATCTTGTGACAAGCGTTGTTCGCTTCACACAAACTAGCTGTTAGGGCATTGTATCGTCATAGACATGGTATAGGCTTTGCAACGTACCAGATTAAACTAAATTGAAAACTAGTTTCGCGGGACACACACCATTCAAAATGGGCAATTCTCAGCGGGTTACACAATTTTTCTTCTGTGGGCGCAGGTTGTGCACACCCTTGGTTATATATCGCCGCAGTAAACCGAAAGTTTCTTTGAACCCAGTGAAAGCAGAGGTCTCGATCCTGAGACAATTTTTGCGTTATTTAGTGGGACCAGTGACATGTTTTTATTATTATCAAGCGTGTGTCTGCTGCTACTACCGTGTTTTCTCGTAAATAAGACTGGGTCCTATTTCAATTTTCTTCCGAAAAATAACACTAGGGCTTATTCTCGGGGGATATCTCATATTTTCATTTATCAAAAACAAAATTACAAAGTAGAGATTTTCGAATATATGAAACCGATATCCATTTACTTATAAATAAACACGGTAGCATAGCTATATGTTCAAACAAGACACATCGAATAACGATTGTCTTCAGGCTTAGTTGGCTTTATTCCGGTGCTATTCGAAGGTCGCGAAGTATAGATTAGAGTTGATCGACACCATGATAATTTTTTCCTTTTCTTGCTCTATATATATTCACTTGTGTCCTTTCCATATCATGCCCTGATGAAGTTTTTTTGTATAGAAATTCGAAACGTCGGCAAATTACATCGTTTTGCTAACACCGGTTGTGCTTCATTTATTATCAACATGAGTTTACCTGGTGGCAATCATGCAGTATTTCCAAATGTCAGTCAGTAATTTATCACATGTCGAAAGTACACAATGGACAAACATAATTAAGTAAGATAAAACGTTTCAGTGTAAAGAGAGAAGCGATAAACCAGTAATGGAAGTGATCCAATTGTTACATACAGTTTTCGATTAGATCTGGAAATTGTGGCATTAGCATTACGAAATGATGTGACAACTAGAATTATGCTTCCTTATCAGACTAGATCTGATAATATCCATACGCAAGATCAAGTTTTGCATTAATATTAAATTGCATGGGAATACATTGTTTCTTCGCGTGGATCGCGAATTGAAAAAAGTTTGGAAGCACTGAATAGGTAAAAGGTAAATCTCATACAGAAAATTATGTATACGTCATGAAATGCTTGAATTGAAATCAGGTGGGCATTGTGATGTCAGAAAGAAGAGACTTCAATGAAAATAAAATTGGTTACAAGCGAAGAGAATCTGAAATAAAACGCTTGGCCGTTTCGTTTTAGGTAAACGAAACCTGTGCAGAGGCAACAGAGCTGGTAAATATCAAGCACGGAAACGCCAGTAAAATAACGGTGCTTTTCAGCGATAGATAAGCGGGACTGTAGGATCCTATCAAATTTATTGTCGACAAATTCGGACTCGAACTTACGACACAATAGCTAGAATTGAATTCCATTGAAGACTGCACGTAATAAACCCAGGGATATTCTTTAAAACTCCCGCCTAATTTTGACACCTTTTCAGTATAATATACTGAAATCCATATTATGGAAAGACTTACGGGAATGGCATCAACTTAAATATGTAGAATAAAGAAAATCAATAAGTCGAATGTATACACCTCCCTCGCCTAAATCAGGGCTACTCAACTATTTTTATCGAAGATTCGCATACAAAACTTCAAAAATATCAGGGTCAGGTCTTTCCAGAAATTATATTTCGACATCCTTATTAAACACGCACTTCCTCGGCCGACTAATGTTTATAAGGAAATCAAGATTGTTTATTATGGCATTATAGTTTTTTTCATATAACGTGATATTTAAATCTATAAAAGTGATTTTATAAAAGAAAACTTCAAAAGTGGGGCTAATGATCCAAAATAAAGAATCAGGCGCGGTCCGAATCGAACACCCGAAAGGTCCGGATTCGGACCGCGGTCAGCCAGTTGAGTAGCCCTGGCTTAGATGTCTTCTTCCAATCTTTGTAAGTGTGTATGAAAACCTTTGGACTCAATGGTAGAACTCAACCTTATTTTCAGGCCAGTTTTTATTCAAAGAGGCTTTTGGCGATATTGCTGCTAGTCTAGAACCCTACACGAGTAGAAAATTAAAAAAAAAAAAGAATATACGGAGAATAACACATACGTCCCGTCGCCTATTAATCGTTTTGATTGGTTGATAACAAATCACATTATGTTCGAACAATTCATGCTCAACATAGTGAAAGTACTCTGTAAAATAACCTTATCAAGCAATGAAACTAGGAAGAAATGAGCGTTTTCTTGTAAATGCAAAAGTAAAAGGCACTTTGCACCTAGCATTGTGGCCCCCCACGAACTCATCTGGAGCCCTTGGTGTGCCACGGGCTTCCCCGCTCGATGACACCTGCTGTAGATCGTCGTAAGTGTGTACGAAAATTTTTGAACCCAATGGTAACACTTAACCTTATTTTCGGGCCAGTTTTTATTCAAAGAGGCTTGCGGCGATATTGCTATTAGCCCTGACCAGGTGTCGCTATTACTATTTGGCGCGACTCTAAAGAATGATTTTATTTTGTCGCGACTCAAGCATTTGGTGAGCATATAAGTTTGTGAAAAATACTTCGCAATTGAACATCGATTTTAGGACTATTATTGACAGTAGCAATTTACTTTACAATTTACAAATATAAAACACAGTAAATAACTATAATTAAAGGTTAATAAAGCTATAGTTCATAAACACAGTACACGGACGCGAAGCTTATTATTTATGGAAAGTTTAAATAGTTTTGCGACCCAGAGTGAAAGGTGTCGCGACCCACTATTTGCGGGCCCCTGGCCTAGACGAGTAGAAAATAAAAAATATATATACGGAGTATAATTTATACGTCCCATTGCTTATTAGTCGTGTGTGTATGTACTTTTTTTAATCCACTTTGGATCAGTATTTCAATATTTAGGGAAATGCGTGAAAATGCTTTAAGCTCAGATATTTAAAAGAAAATACGAAGAATCCAGTGATCGCACGCAGTTTTGATTATTATTTAGTATTAGGATATGACAATGCTACCAGCCTTTGTAATATGTGAAAAAATAAAAAAAGATACAAACACTATTTGATACGTCTTCCATCGCTTAGTTGGCGTCTATCGATCGATAAATTCGAACCAATAGAACAGCTCTACGCGCGTTTAAAGTTCGATGATACTTATGCCATCACAAGGGTTTATTGACCCAGTGTTTTGTCATAATCGAAAAATGCCACATGAATTATTTCGTCACTGACACGTTGCATGGTGCCTTTTGATTGGTCGAAACGAGATTGTATATGTGGTAAAATATATAGGATCGTTCATTATCGTTTGAATACGGACAAGACTTAGACGTTTTAACAGAATCAAGAAATTTTACTGGAAAGGGTAAGTTTTAGATTATAATATTGATTTGTATTTTTGGCAAAAATGTATAATCATATTTTTCAATGAATATAGTATGAATATATATATATATAGTATAATATATAATTATCTTTTTCATCGAATTGAACAAAACAACAAAACTAAACGACAAAAACAAAGCGTGTCCTGAGCCTATTTAGTTCGTGGCGCTAGTTCGTTTTGTTTTTTAATGAATGTAGTATATAGAATTTAATTTCTGTTTTTATTGAATTAAACAAAGCAGGACTGACCATAAATAAAGCTTGTTCGGATCTACATCCTTGTTACCAAGCCGTCTTGGAGGATTTTCTCTCTCTGGTCTGGGATAAATATGGATATATATACCAGATTTCAGATAGATAAAAATGATTCGGCAAAAATAGTTTTTTCAAATCTTATTTTCAATGAATGTAGTATATAAAATTTAATTTTGGTTTTACTAAATAAAAAAATTAAACAAAGAATTATATATTTACGGTACAGTAAAGCCCCCAGCCACACACACAACACCCGCTGAAAATTAGAAAATCAGTAATCATGCAGTTACGGCTAGGAATGCAGATTGCGCTGGAAATTCTGAATTTTAAATCATGCCTCGCCTTAGCTCGAACACTAACTGAATCACTATATTACATTTGACACACAGACAACTTTTCTGGTCTGCATTATACAATACTGAGAAATAAAACACCATTGTGTAATTTGGACTTCAATTGCTAAATATAAAACAAAGAGAGAGATCTCATCAATGACACTTATTTCGGCCAACCGCTGTTATTTAATCAAGAAATTCACAGATTTTATTTATTCTTTAACATGCGTGACTCCTATAATTCTACTAGGATTGTTTAAATTCGCATGTAACTGCCTTTCGTGTTGTAATTGAACCATGTATGTCTGAAGGAGTTTGACCTTGGTCAGACGAAACGTTACAGAAATATATATGTGTTAGTGTGCAGCAAGACTCTTGAATCACTAGCTCAATAATTACTAAATTGTTACTTAGAAAATCCCAAAATTGAACGTTAAGCCGCTTGCCCAAAGCTTTTTAGTAGCGACGACTACATGTATACAGAATATTAATAAATCGGTTAACTATTAAATATCCAACCTAAACGAGTAAACGGGCGATAGCCTATAGAATTTGCCATATGATTAAGCCGTCTTAGTGGCTTTTCTCCGCCTGGATAAAAATGAAAGCTCTAAAAAATGAAAAAGTACGACGCTAATATAATTTACTTGCTGGGTGCCGCTGCTCGATAACCTATATATACTGGTTTTCTGCGACTCCTCTCTCCCTGATATGCATCCATCATAATTTATTGTTATTTGTTTATCTAGTGTTTTTTCAGTATGGAAAAATAAACTACTTAATATTCTCAAATCATAGCTATCATAGGAAAATGAGCAGGTAAAACCTGTGGCTCTGTATTCCTGTTCACTTCAAAGTTTTGAGTGATGACGTCATCAAAATTAGAAATGACATAACCACAACCTAAAATATTTATTTCCAATAAGTTTCAAGTAAAGTAACAGTCGCCTATTCACTCAGACTAAATTTCCGAATAAGCAGCGAAGATACATAAAGAGTTAATATTTCGCAAGGTATGGAATCTTTCCCGCCAGGCATTGGCTACCTAATTTATAATAATCTGCGTGAGTTGTTGTAAAAGAGGGTTGGACCCCACTCTTTCTCTAGCCCAGTTTATCTCAAACGCGCCCCACAAGGGAGGCATAGACAATTTTTTAATGAAGCTAATTTATAAAAATAGTTGTTAGATTCGATCTTGCCGGCTTTGATTCGGATATTTACATGTCTTTGTTGTTTAGAGATTGTAGAGCGCTGTTGTGATTGTATCTTCATTATTCTTAGCGTGGAGCCTTTCTATCTGTTATTTGTAGATTATTGTCAGCTACTCATTTTTTAGGTAGGGCGCGAGACTTGACAATTTCTAAAAAAGTGGCGCGTGATAAAACGTTTGAGAAGCACTTCTCTTGCCTGTTGTTCATCAATCTTACGCGTCCCGCTACCCACCCTTCTATTCCAAGTTATTGCTGACATCTGCGTACAAGCCTTTCATTATTATATTTCAATTTCAAATTGTTCAAATTTTATTGTTCAAGTATCCTATATGGGATTCGAACCCACGTTTATTCCGGCTGTAGTTCACCAATTTTTCACTCGTTCCCTCTTGCCACTAAATTTAGCATTTATTTTCCAATATTTATCAAATCAATCCTATTTCAGGACAATATTCAAGATGCACAAATCAATCATCATATTGCTATTCGGGGTCGCACTCTTATGCCCCCATTTCACGTTTGCTGCTGACGGAGAAGCGTAAGTATTTTTATAATTACTTGTCTACGTTTTGATTGAAAGGTTTGTATACATGCTGACCACCGACATACGTTATCAATTACTTTCTAGATCAGGGGTGGGTATCTTCTCTAGTCGGCGGGCCGGATGTTGGAAAATGAAGTCCTCGGTGCGCCGGATTATAACACGAATAGTATTCAATATCATAATCACATATTTATTCACTAATGCAAGAAAGAAAGTTATAAATTGCGTTTAAAGTAAAGTTTGAACTTTACAAAACATAGAGACCAAAAAACACATAATGAATTTATCATAATGTACTGATGTACAGTCAGCGGGCCTGTTGAAATCTCGTCGCGGGCCGGACCCGGCCCCTGGGCCGTATGTTGCCCACCACTGTTCTTGATCTTTTGGACACCCACCACCCTCCCCCCGCCAAGCTCAGAATAAAAAAAATAATATTGAGATGGGTTAGAAATACATATTGCGGTGGAAATTCTGATTTTAAATCGTTCTCAATTAACGCGAACCCCGACTGGATAATTACTATTTTCAAAACGTGGCGTTTTTTTTCAAATATCACATATTTGCATTAGTGACTAGGCTTGCACGTAATTTACGGATTTACGGAATTACGGAATTATTTCGAGTTACGGAAGCGAAGTTACGAATTACGTAAATTCGTAATTATTGGTGGAGCGCTTTCGCGATTGAAACGAGCTCTCTTCAGAGCAGTCAATTCCGTCGATTGTAAAAAATTAAAGTTTAATAAGTAGAAGAAGTTAGAGCTTCGGTATTTGCAGCCGTTTTTCTCTCTCTTGTTACTCAGATGGAGAAGGCATAACGCGTTGCCATTTACTAACCTATTATCAACTTATCTAGCATGGCAAATGTACATATTAAGCGTAGATATGGGATAGAATTGTGTTGAGACCGATGGACGCGAACACACCTGGTTTCAACTTCTTCGGGTGAAATGACTAAAGAATGTAAGAGATCAACTTACCAAACATGGTCTATTTATAAATGCCGTGATAATTAATGTCACGCTTATCAAACAGCAATATGACGACGGAAGAGAAATTGCGTAATGAACCAACGCAACTTAGTCTTTTCGGCACCGGTAAAGCGATTCAGACGGCAGAGAAACAACGAAAAGACGGGATTTCCCATGTTTATTCTGCGCGAGATCCATTTTCTATTACAAAATCTTGATGTTCTGTTACCGGTTTTATCGTTATATATCTGTCCGGACTTGGCCTTGTTTTCACAATGCCTCGCACTATTTCTGCCAAATATGTCTTTACAAAATCTTTAAGTCTTTTTCCAAATGCGGCAACTTATTTTGATGTATCGTCGACTCAAATACCACCGGCACTCGACCAAACTTGTGTCAATCTTAGCCGATAGGATTGTCGACTTGAGTTAGAAAAGTAAATTAATATTTTCGTGAGTGCAAAATAAATGTCACAAAATGCATTGTTTTGCAAATAACTTTGTATTTTCGGAGAAGGCATGTCATATAAGTACGGTATTTAAATTATGCGCAAATAATTAATATTTGATCTAAATTTATCGCAAATAATGTTATAACATTTAGGCCTCGAAATGATTTAATGTAAAATGAAGCATGGTAATCGGAATATCGTCAATAAGTCGGCATCAATAATTATTATAAAATGCTAACTAGGTAGTAAAGTCGGATAATGTAAAAAAACGGTTCAATAACAAGTCTTCGTCGCGAGGCAAGCGCAAGTATAATCAAACGAGAGAATACGCTCGCCGTTGATTTATAAATTAGAAACCCGGAATTTTTATTTAATACGAAACTCGTATTAATACGTTAATACGATTTTAAAAAAGTCAACTATCTTTTCATAAATATATTACCCCTTACCAGTGTTGGTAATGATAAAATTGATCGCATAAAATTGGGTGATAAAGTTGATAAAGGAAAATCAAAGCTAACACAAAAGATAAAAATCAGAATAAAATTAATTTGAATTCACTCCTTGATATTTGTCTTTAGCATCTGTCGCCGGCGTGTAGTACTGGCGGAAATATGAAAACCAAACTGTCCCAACTGTCGATGTCCCATTCGGAATAGAAGTGGATTAAATTGGTTGTTAAGATAGTTTTAAAAGTGTGAAAAAAATATCGCAATTACGGGGTCATTACGTAATCGATTTGGCCGTAATTACGGAATTGATTTTTGTCAATTACGTGCAAGCCTATTAGTGACAAGGGCTTTGTACAAAAGATCTTAATATCACTAAGACAAAATGAATGCTATAGATAAAGCAAGACTTGCGAAGGGCAAAGAGGAAAACCTTTGTTTACAAGTGGAAATAACTTTTTTCAGAGCTACAGTAAACTAATAATGCGTAAATACTATTATGGTTACGCTTTTGCGCAAAGTCATTCGAACAAATCTTGAGTTCAAACGAGAAAGAATTGAAAGCATCAACTAGTGATCTAATAAGGAAACGCTAGTAAATTTGGGCGAAGCAATTTTTATGTGAACTAATACAAGGAAGAGCCAGCAAAATAAGCTGAAAGCGACCAGTGCTACGCTAAGACCTTTATGTCGGTTTATATCAAAGATCTCGGTGGATATAGGTTAATGCTGGTATATTTTATATATATGCTGTTTAGCTCAAAGCGAATTTTTCTATAAGTTACTGCGTTTATTCCCTAGTATTTTCTAATATTATCAATTTTATTGTTTATTTTATATTTGTATTGAAGTGTTTCTCAATAGTAATTATATATGAGAGAAGTAACGCAGCGTAAAAACCTGGCATCTGCTGCTATTTGTCAGTCAGTTAATTTTGCGACCATTGAAGGCATGAATATTGCACATCGCCTAACAGGGTGGTCCAAACCCAGGCCCGCGGGCCACATGTGACCCGCCGCTTCATTATCTGTGGCCCGCGTCACATCCGGAGAGGAATTAAAAATTCGTATTTTGTGTTGTTTCGTCATAAAATTAACCAAAAAATCTTCTGACATATTGTTGCATCACTAATGTCACTGAATTGACTAGTGTTATGGCTTGCTTAGGCATCTAGCGACGTTAAACGAGCGAAGTTCTTGGCACTATTGTGGCCCGCGAACAATGCAAAAGTGATTTTGTGGCCCGCGGAGCTGCCAATCTCGGACCACCCTGGCCTAATATTTGAGCAAATCCTTGGGTCGCGAGATTTAAAAAAAAAAAAAAATTTAATTTTGAATCCAATTTCCTTTTGTAATTCAGAGAAGATGACGCGTCAGTTGCAGTCGGTAAATTATTTTTTATTTTGAACTCGTCATTTACGAGTTTTCATTGCAATCACGTCATCATTTAGGTAACGTCATTATACCTGTGACGTCATTCTACAAATTACATCTATCTATCAATTGTTAATTGTCATTTTTATTTATTTCATATCATCATTCATCTCGATTACCTCATCCTCTTCATTGCGTCATCAACATCATTACGTCACAATCAACGGTAGAACAGCGTAGCATCTGATCTAGCTAAGTATTGGTCCAGCAGAGCGAGGCAACATAGGGCTATTAAACAACACCAAGCTATGCTAAGAAGAAGGCGAAAATCCATTCGTCAGTCTATGATTCCTCCATGGATAAAGTACAGTAAGGAACATATAGGCTTGTTTCTAGCCCTCGATAAGTTTGAAAGTAAAATGTACCCCCCAACTGACTGTATACCTCAATATGTGTTGTAAGGTAAATAGTAGTACACGCTGAATAGTCTTCTTGTCCAATAAACAAAGAAATATCCATTAGGCAGCTAAAATTTATCATTTGTTAACGACAAACTTCAATTTTGTAACCCTTAATTCTCTCGTTTAATCCCCAAAATTATCCTCTTAACTCTGTGCATTGTCTCTTCAATTTGTACTGTAAGTGGACTTTAGAAAAAGTGGTGTCTAAACTATAAGGCAAATTAAAATTAGCATCTATTGGGAATCCCTGACTCTACTATATACTGAGATGCTATGGAAGCCGGGGATATTAGTTGCAAACGCTACTCCAAACAATTATATGAAACAAATTCTCAAGAAAATGACTTAAACGGGCGGTAGAAACATTACTTTCACCCCAAAGCGGCCACGATTCAAGCTCAATAATCGACAGACTTCGATATCGCAGGGAAGAGGGGTGGTGGCGTGAACTAAGTAAAAAGCAAAATGTTTTGCGAAGTTTGTTGTTGTTGATTAATGAGGCCGAACGCTGATAGAATAGGGGGGATGGATGTGGGGGGACCAAAAATAATAACGTTAAAAGGGTATATTTCGTGAATATCAATTTTTATTCTTCATTGCATTTACTTATCATTGCAGTCATTCACCTACGTCACCTTTCGTCTTCATTACTACGTCATCAGTGTCATCCATACGACATAAAAATCATTTAGTATATATTTATTTAATCATATTTCATTACTTCTGCTCATTCGTATGCAATATTTAGAAGAAATTTTAGTTTAAATGTTCTTGGAATTAGTGATACAATGAAATTACATTAATTACTAATATAAACCTGCGTTTTAGACTTTTTAATTTTTTTTAAACTCTGAGGAATTTTTAATGCAAAATATTTAAAGCTCAATAAATTCCTCAGTATTTTTTTGAATGCATGCTCATTTTGTTTTGGCAATTTTTTTCGAATGTTTCTAAATAGGCCAAGCGGGAGAGCATGTCTGCGTTTGGGCAAGCGCTTTTAATTTCATCTTGAATTTTTTTGAATTTAGGCAAAATTGTAATTGACGTAGAAACCAATTTAAAAAAATTTGACTTAAAGTTGCCATCTTATATGGAAATTAAAATTATTATTTTCTGAAATCTAAATTCTATGAAACTATTGTTGTCGTGGCAAACGATTAAAAGATTTTCTTCAAAAAAATCGCAAAATTCTGAAAAAGAATGTTCGCGAATGATGTCACTAAAATTTCTCTTACGTAACAATGTCACTGATGACGTCATCAGAAGCGGAAGGTGCCGAAGGCGAGGAATCTGAATCTACTGAATCTACAGAGAAACCGAACGAAGAAGGACAAAAAGAACTGACGCTAGAAGACATTCAACTGTGGTCGTCCATCGATTTGGACAAGGATGGCAAACTGACAGTCTCGGAATTCGATAGGTAAGGGTTGTTTTATAAGTGTTTTGGAGGAGGGGGGGGGGGGGGGGGGGTTACGGTTTAGACGAGCTTCGACTTCAATCGATGTTACTACGCGTTAGACAAGGATGGCAAACAGTCTCTGAAGTCGATAGGTGAAAATTTTTTTGCTTTCAGGGTTGGAATGCTCCGAACAATTTTTTAGAATAGCTTCGTTATTATCATTCCTCTGATATGTAATAATCTACTTTTTTGGTCGTACGTCGATTAGAAGTAGAAAACTGACCGTCTCTGAATTCGATAAACAGGACTCATAAACAGAACTTCAAATCCGGGGTAAAAATTAGATATTTCAATGTTGTTCTAAGGTTTGGCAGTACCGATGGGCAATGACTCCGCCCCTAATTTATTTATTATTTTGATATGCGATTGTGCGGCATCTGGCGTAACACATAAACTCTTACACCTTTCCAACACCATTTAACTCAATTCTTGTATCGCTATCGCTTGTATATATACCTTGGGTAACTTCGAAGTAAGTCAGTCGAGGGATTCTTTGGGATATTGTTAAATATCAATGGAAGCTTTTATCTAGCCTTGTTCGGGACAAAAGGCAAGAGTAAGCGTCGTATTACGTCAATATACAAATATACAAAAAAACCACCCCCTTTAAAAAAATTGCGGCTTGCTACGATCTTGGTTCCACATACTACTCCATGCTCGTGTCTAATTACTTAATTTATTTACAGATTTGTTCGTTCCCCATCTTCAGCCGCATTCGTTGCCCAAATGAAGAGCGAAAAAGCAATCAAAGCCTGGGCCGATAGTAAGTTATAGATCTTTTGTGTTTTTCTTAAATTTCAAAATTTTGCATTAGTGGCGAGGACATTGTAAAAAGATCATAAGTTATCTAACTTTTCTTGTACTTTTTATATCAGAGTTTTGAACTGAAATTATTTAAAATAAATACATGTATTATAGGTAAAAAGTTGGAGAATTAAGAAAATTACATTCGATTCACATTGAATTAATGTAGTCCAGTTTTTTTGAGTGAGGTCCAAATAGTAAAACGGAAAAGGGCCAAAACAATTTTGTTGGAAATTTTAAATTCAACCACGTAATAAACTTGTGAAGGGATATTTAATTTGTTTAGTTGCAATGCACGTTATGTATGATCGTTTGACAAAAACCATTTGGCCAAAATTTATATGTTGGGTTTATAGAACTTTTTTGTATCACAGCAATAATTGAAATTTATTGGAGGCTAGTAAATGTAAAAGCATCGGAATATCAAGAAGAAACGGGATAAGACAAACTATCATTCGGAATGACCGAGGTCCCAAGCGAGCATACCAACGAGGGCTTATATCCTCACATATTGCGACACAACCCTCTATATAGTTCCAAACTAAACAAACAAAAACAAGTATTATCGGTAGGCTTACCATACGTCCCGCTTTAGGCGGGACAGTCCCGCTTTTCAGCGTCATGTCCCGCCGTCCCGACAAGTCAGCCAAAAGTCCCGCTTTGGCGTTCGGCCATCCAGCATATTACACGAACATGTTCTCGTTTCTGTTGTTTCTGTGTAGCGAAGCGCTAGCCTACTTACTGAAGGTGAATGCGTTTGTTTCGTTGTTTCCCGCCAACATTGTTAGAGAACGTATCACATGTAAATGCTATGTCACTAGTAAATGCTTTGTTTCTTGTCGTCCTCAAGCACACTAAAATGCTGTTTATCTTATATTCTACACCGTATATGTTTTACGTTACGTATTTTCAGCATTGGTGGGAAAATAAACTAATGATTACTGCTCGGCGTCCCACGGTTTGCCGACAACTGATGTATACCCTAGTAATAGATTTTTCTCGCGGCCTCCGAAGAACAGCTGCGGGGGTCACAGTTTGAGAAACTTCAATTTAAACCCAAATTACGTTTTTCCCTCTTAAAATGCGAGAAAATTTTGCGAATTTTTCGCTTAACCTGAAACCGGACTTTTGCCATTAAGAGCGTCGTTTGTCCTTGTTCACCCACGCCATTGCCGGCACTTAACGAAGTCAATTGCACTCAAAGTGAAATACCCGCAACCGTTTGGTTACGTGGCTCTTTCGAATGCTTTCGCTATTATATTTTCAATGAAGCTATCTGCTCGGAAAAAGGCTCTTTATAAGCAAATGGCAGTAATTGTAGAACAAGGGCCTTGCCAACAATTTTCAAAAGGAGGGAAAGTGTGGGTTTTCAGGAGTCTTATAGGCCTAAAGAGCGTTCTAGGCTACGAAAAATGGCAATATGATAAAGAAAATTTTTATTCTTTCACATCATGAAGAGGGGGAGGGGGGGGGGGGCAAGACCCGCAAAACTACCCCATTGGTACGCCCCTGTCGGAAACACTCACCCAGGGACAATCGCGAAAGCTAGTGGAGTGTTCCGCGTCCCTCAGGAACTAGAATAAAAGAAACGTATTTAAGTATTTGATAACACGGAAATATTTTAAATTTTATAACAAAATTGGCCATATTTCAATGAGACCGGTGTACTTGCATGTTATCGCACAAAAGATCGAATTTTAGCTCTATTTCGGAAATGGTGGGTATCAGCTAGCTGGGAGGGTGTAAAAATCGTTCTGAACTACGAATTTTTTTTTACATTTTAAGAAGGTAGTACATGTACCCATATTTCGGAATCCTCGATTCAAACAATCTCTTTTTTTACACAGACGTGGGTATTGACGTGGCGAAGGCGAAGCAGGCAATGGCCCTGGGAGCCCAAAGCCAGGCAGCTCGCATTCGTGCAGCAAATATACAACAAATTCAGAGACAGAGAGCGATACAACAACATCAGTACAGGAGCAGGGTTAATCAGCAATCAAGAGTGAACAACTACTTTGCCAACTTGGGGGTAAGTTTAATCAAGCATGACTCGCCAGTATAATTCCTTACTAATGTAAATGTGTCGAAGCTGCCTTTTTATGCTTGATTGCAGTCTAAAAATATTAGCAAATTAGTGATACCCCAAATTGGTATAAGTTTTTTACTTAATATCCTTTATTGCAATTACACATTTATTTTCTGATTTATTTTTTTGGCTTCTGTTTATCTCAGATAAGATTAAGCTAGATTAGATATTGTGTCATCTTCCAACTTATTCTAACACAGAGGTGTACAACAGGCGGTCCGCGGGCCACAATCCGGCACGCCAAGTCACTTAGTGTGGCCCTCCGCAACACTCAGATTTTTCCGCATCTAGCAAAAAATTATTGCATCTGCATCTCATAAAATCCCATTTGAATATTTTCAGCGCCATTGAACCCTTTGCACTTAGCATCAACTTTTCTGCGTTTTGTTGCCATTTGCTTAAAATTAAATTATATGCTCATTAAACGAGTAATTGTGAATAATATCATTGTTAGGTTATAATATAATTTAGTCTAAAGAATCTATTCGTCAAAACGGATGTTTTGTTACTATAATTTAGTGAAGCGTCGCGGGACGAATCCGGCCCGCGGGCCGTAGGTTGCCGACCCCTGCACTAGGGGATCTTTTGTACAAAGCTCCGTCACTAATGCGAAATGTGAGATTTGAGAAAAACACCCCGCTACGTTTTTAAATACCAGATTAGTAAATATCGAGTTAAGGTTAGGAATTATTTAAAAATTTGGATTCCCAGCGCAAACTGCATTTCTAACTCTAACTGAAAATTACTAAATTTCTTATTCTTATTGTTAGCGGGGGTGTTTTTCAAGGTTGAGGATTTGTACAAAAAATAGTACTTCCGTAGCGTGTGTACCAGGTTAGGGTTAGGCCATAATTTCATTCCGATTTTCCTTATTTCAGTTCTCTTACGAGTTCGAGGACTGTCTGTATTAGCCAGGTAAACATACCACCTGCTCATAGGTTTCAGTCCCTTTACATAACTTGATGTTAAGTAGGCAAACAAAATTAGTTACCTCCATATTGGTACACATACTTCTGGGGCGCTCAAAAGATACCCACAAAGATTCGGGGCCTTTCACAATTAGTAGTTAGTGCCGTCTGGAGCCTTTTTCGTAGTGATGGCGCGAAATGGCGTTATAAAATATTTAACCCATTCTTTAACTTTCAGCGCCAGTACTACAGAGCGGCGGTTTCCAGAGGTGGAAGACGAGATGAATTGTAAAAAGAAAAAACAAAACAAAATTACGTCATCAACTCAATGACGTCATCAATTAATAATTTTAGGAGACTATTTCGACATAATGACTTTTGATTGGATCTTACCCAGCCACGAGCTTGACCATCATTGGAATATATTTGGTGGCCTGAGTCCGTTTTTGAACCGGAGTTTAGTAAATTGATTTGTTTGTTTATCACAATTCGGATATCCGGTAATACTTCCAGATATGTACCATTTCATTTGTAGTAGTAAAATATATATCATTCGTGTATCCGGTCAGAATTTCACTTTAGTACTATTCAGAGATTCTCGCTATTGAAAATCAATGAAGCGTTTCAGGGCAGAATAACTCAATTCAATTTGTGTGATTTTGATGCTGTTATTTTACGCTTCATTAATTATTGGTTAAAAGAAAATTGAATTGTATTATAGTTGATCCAATGGGACCGTATATATGTATGTGCTTTTAATATTATCATGTAGTAGCAAAAGTAAAATAATTCGATCTGGAAATTTTGCATTATGTTTTTTTTATGAGGGGGGGGGGGGGGGGGGTACTGATGAGATGACGTAATTATATAGCCATGGTGTCAGCACAGGGACTAGGAATCAGTGGCGAATCTACCGTGTTTCCCTAAAAATAAGACCGGGTCTTATTTTTTCTCCGAAAAATAACACTGAGGCTTATTTTCGGGGAATGTCTTATATTTTCATTTATCAAAAACATAAGTAGAGAACTACTACATTTTCAAATATACAAAATATGAAAACCTATATCCATTAACTTAAAATAACACGTTTTTATTCAAAATAACCGTGAAACATAGATTACCAATTATTTAAAACGTGTAGGGGAGATTTCTTGCTATCGACTAGGTAAAAAAATATTCCCGTTATTTAGTAGGTCTTATTTTAAGTGTAGGACTTATATTAAAATCATTTTTAAAATTCAGGCTAGGTCTTATTTTCAGGGTAAGTCTCTTTTTCGGGGAAACACGGTACATGAAATGGCGCCCGACAAAGTTTGAGAATGCGCCCCATTGATCGTTGAATCACAATTATTTACGACTGATGTTAAATTGAGATATTTGTACGTTTTTATTTACGTATAAGTTTCAACTATTTGTAATTATGAATAATTTTATTGAAGCATATTACTATTAAAACTTTTCACCACTTTGCGCTCCAACCGAAAACGGTACGAGGTTAGATACGTTAAAGCGACTTGGATTGGATTGGTCAGTTCGCTACTTGTCAAGACGATCGTTTACAATTTCAAATTAAACAAAAGACGATCGATGGTATAGTCCAGGGGTGGGTGGAGCGAGGCCTCGAAGACGAGATTATTCTCCTTTAGATAAAAAGTTTCAAGACTCTGAGTTATCTGATGAAACTCGGTGTTCGTTTATTCATTATCGTTTGTTAATAACCCGTTATTTATTTAAATTTTTCTTGTCCTTCCATGACATAAGGCTGCAAAGAAATACATTATGACGTAACAAATGAGTGATCTCTCGAGAAAGCATTCATTTGACTACATTCTTACGTAGTATAGTTCGTCTGTGCCACTTTTTTTTGTTTATTTCTGCTCGATTTATGAAGTTGTAGAGCTCGTGTTGGTTAGAGTTATTTGCTAACTTACTGTTATGAATTGATTTCGACAGAAATATACGAGATTAGGGAAGGGAATACAAGAGAGAAGTGCAGAAAACAAACTATTGCGTGATTGGGATGCCATTCTCGAACATTTTTCGTGTCTTAAAAACTTTGCAACTGCATTACTTCGTGTATTTCTTTGGGAGTTACAAAATAATAACCCAATGTAAAATCTCTATCATTGGTAATGCAGAAGCAGAAGTCTCACTGATATAGAATAAAAAAGGTAATCGAAACTATTTGCCGGACTGATATTTTTCCGAATAGTGAACCTGTCTGTTCCTGTTTAAAAGGTTTATTTTTTGCGTTGAAAGTAGCAAAAAGTTGTTTTTTAATTTCAGTCGGCACGCGGAAGAATTTTGTCGTTAAATTTACCCGATTTTGGCACGCGAGCCGAAAAAGGTTGCCCACTCCTGGTATAGTCAAACATAGCAAATCGTCCATAAGCTTCAGGGCGCTCCGGAAATATGTACACCAAGATGAGGCACAACCTGAACCCTAACCTGGTACACATACTATGTTTAGGTTGAGCGTCATCTTGGTACACATACTTCGGGCGCACCAGTTTCAGCAGCATTCATGCAAAGTAGATTTTCATTATGGTGAAAAAATAAAGTTTTGATTACAGCCAGTAATAGAATTACCCTGCGTGGGCTCGCAGGATCCTATCCCACGCGGGAATAGTTAGGATAAGAATAATGGTTTACATATTTATCCCAGGGGAGAGAAAAGCCGATGAAACGACTTAACCATATCGCGAACCACGGCCTCTCGTCCGGTTACCATTCCATGTCGGGTATGGGATTAGTTAGTTATTTGTTTTCGAAAGCATGGACTTGATGGTGGAGAAAGCCGTAACCGACCAGCGGTTACGTGAACCACCCTACGGCGGCGAGGAGTCCAGCAATCCTCTCGCACATAACCATCCCGCATGGGATTTGTGCGGTGGCGAGCGTATTCCTAATAGGCCGCGAGCCGAGGCCATTTATCTTTCAGTTTCGTAGCGCACATCAGGTAACTACCTGAAAATGATTTTAAAATGTTCCTTAGAAATTTAGTAACAAATATTGCCTTGTTCCCACTTCCAAAAGTTGCACGTTTCACAGAAAAGACGCTTTTACTACAATAAATATGTGTTACCATCTGTCCTATTTTCTCTGCTTTTCCGGTATCATGGGCCAATGAACGCAGACTTCTGCACGACGTAACAGTCAAGTTAGTCAGCTGTAGGTGGATCCCCAGTGGTCGGATGAATATCAGATGTACTACAACTGCTCGCTTTTGCGTTGAGTACCGTAGCCTTTCCATAGTTTTTTTTCAGTTACCGGTACGGTAATATTAGTTCAGTTATTCTAAGGAGGTGTTGAAAAGTATAGGTAAGATATTAAACACTTGTATATCCTTACCATAAATAGCAATATTAGTTGAGCACTAGCTCATAAGACGTTGTTAAATAGGTACGGAGCGGTACCGGTAACTCCAAGGAAGGCTAGACCTAGAATAGTATGTCACAAACAACGATATTTTCTGGCTTGCATGAAATGTTTATGATTAATTTAAAGACTCTTCTTGACTATTCAGCAGACTTATACTACTATATAGGCCACAGCATATTTGGAAATAAAAATGAATGGCTGTTTCTGTAATGCACGATTGTGTGAAAGAGAAGAAATTATTCAATTTTACTAATGTCGGTTGGTCTAAATCTAAATTCATAGAGTCGACAAGAACCTGGGAAGCAATGATAAGTTATGCCGGAGTGGAAAGAAAGGTAGCATTGGAAACGATTGAGAGGTGAGAAATCAAGTTGTAGACAAACAGTTGATGTTTTAAAAAATAGTCTATAGCCTAGTCCATACTCATACTGTCATAGGGCATTTCAGACTGTGATATATCAAAATTTAGTGTAGATATAGTCTAGTAATGGTATGCAAACACTGCTGGACTGTAGTATATGCAATGAATATATATACGCTCATTTAGTACATCAGATAAAATGCATTATGTATTCAAGGTATTAGTTAGTATTTAGGGGTATTTTTAAACTCATGCTGCTCCAAATATTATTTTCTTCCTCATTTTAGATACTGTACTACAAAAGAAAATGGCAATGTTCCACCAATCCGACCTAACGCAGGCTCTGATCCCTGCTGCTATCAGTGCTATAAAATGGATTAAACAAGAAGTCTTGAAGCTTAAAGGTATATGAGAATCATAATAGTTGCAAACAGCTTAGATGGGCTATTCATATTGAAATACTTTAGCACTTTTCTGCAATTGGAACTGCCCATCAAATTCATGTTGGTGACTTCATTGAGATTTTCAATTCATTTTTTTCTCTCGACTATGAAGATCTTTTGAGGTTAACGAGGCATTAATAAATAAAGCTGAGGAATTTGAAGAGGATAGAAGAATGTAAATGATACCAGGGCACGTCTATTTAACACTGTCAAACATAAGGATCAACTCTCCACCCAACAATGATTCACTGAAGAAGCATGTGGCCCTCAAATCAGTTCTTGAGTTGGCAAACTGCAAGTGTAAGAAAAATAGTCAAAATAATTTATGAAAGTGTGCCAAAATCAACCTCAATTGCACAGATTTTTGTTGTTGTATTGACTGCAAAAATCACAGTACACTTATAAAGGAAAAGTCGATTTTTGAGATAGTGGATTTCGAAAACAATTCAGAAGAAAGTGAATTAGATATTACAGTTGATTTAATAAGTATCATTTATTTGTTGTTTTTTTCGGACATTTGTTAGTGTCGTAGTCCTGTTTCTAGTAATATTATTGCCTTTGTTCAAATACATAACCACATAAACTAAAAAAAGATTAATTGTAATATTTCTGTTCACTATGTTATGTACATATTGTACATTCATTTAATTTTCTTGACTTTTGCTGTAAATTTCTAAGTGAGAAATAACTGATTTATTTGTGCTTTCGTGCTCACGATGTTAATTTGTGACTTCATTGCTTAAAAATAAATACTTTTGATAGCTTCTATAAAATGGATGTAGCTTTTTATGCTGTTCTTGTTGTATGTAAACTGCTTGTGGTTATTACATAAAATTTATTCGCAAATGTGAATCAGCGTTGTTGGTGTCGCTGCTTTCGAGGTCACTCCCAACTCCTGTCACACAATTAAAGTATTTTTTGTTGTTGGTTACATGTATGCCATATTTTTCGTAATCTACCTAATAAATTATGATTGACTGAGGAAGTCCGATTTTGGTCAGGCAAAACATTACAGGAATACATTTGTGTTAGTGTGCTGTAGGGCTCTCGTATTGCATAGTTCTTATGTATGTGTTGTAAACTTATGGTTATTGAATTTCCGGGAACCTCTTATATTCAATTTCGCACCAGGATTGTGGAACAAGCTGTAATGCGTTCATTATGTTCGTTTTCACACAAAACTGAAGAATTTATTTAGTTACCAGATGTGCGCTACGAAACTCATTTTCTGGGCGTTTTCATGGCTTCGTCTCACGGCCCATATCCGTGGTAAGGATCTACAAGTGTTTAATAACTTACTTATACATTTTTCAACAACGTCTTAGCATAACTTAACTAATAATAACTAAACAGGGCTATGGAAAGCCTGCCCAACTCAGCGCAAGGTCGAGCAGTAATAACTAATATTCATCCGCTCGCTAACAGCTGGTTTAATTCAATTGTTACGTCATGCAGAAGTCATTGTTCCTTGCCGAAAATGTAGAGAATATAGGACAGATCGTAGCACATATTTCTTGTAGTAAAAGCGTCTTTTCCGTAAAACGTGCAACTTTTGGAAGTGGGAACAAGGCA